AAAAAGATTACTGTTTTTTAAATATGAAATGGATTATTGTCTCCCCTGAGTTAGGAAGAATAGTTGAAAATTCTATTAATACTTAATTAATTACTTTTCTTATTTCTTTTCTTATTTTATTATCTATTCCTTCTGTTTTTCTATCTTTTCCTCTGTTTATTTATTATTTATTTATTATTTAATTACTTTACATTAAAAAAGTGCCATTTATTGGTTTGTTAATAACTCCATAAATTTTTTATTCAATTTAAGTAAAAAATGATAAGTATGAGTTTCACTTCAAAAAAGATCTTTAAAAGAGACTTGAAAGATCCAATGTATCTTTGAATGAAGATTAAATTAAAAAAAAGAGATAAAATCGGGAAAGTGGGGTAAAAAGATCCACGTGATGATTAGAAAAATGATTTGATATAAAAGAGAGAACTAAAAAGACAAGGATCGTAAAATGCAATTCGGATATCCACCAATGCAACCACCAGTAACTAATTTCTGTTTATGGAATCTTCAACCAATCCAAGGTTCTTGGATGGGAGCTGCTTGTATCTATCAAATGCCACCATCAGTTAGAAACACTTGGTGGTTCCCATTAATTAACACTATCCCATTAGATCAATACACAAGAATTTATCAATGGTTTATGGGAGTTGATAGAGACAGATCAGGAACTCTTGAAATTAATGAATTAATGATGGGACAATTCCCAGGAGGAATTAGATTATCACCACAAACTGCTCTTAGAATGATGAGAATTTTTGATACTGATTTCAATGGACATATTTCATTCTATGAATTTATGGCTATGTATAAATTCATGGAACTTACATACAATCTCTTTGTTATGAACGATAGAAACAGAAGTGGAACTTTAGAACCACATGAAATTTTACCAGCTCTTCAACAACTTGGATTCTATATTAATCAAAGAACTGCTATGTTATTACACAGACTTTTCGCTCGTGGTATGGCTTTCTGTGATCTTAATTGCTGGGTTGCTATTTGTGCTTTTGCTGCTCAATCAAGATCTGCTTATCAAATGATCTTTATGAATCCATATTATGGACCAATGAAACCATTTAATCCAATGGAATTCGGTAAATTCCTTGACGTTGTTACTTCCCTCTTGGAATAAATGAAAATTTCATTTTTTGATTAAAATTATTTTATTTATTTTTTAATTAAATAATAAATAACAATTAAAAGTAAATTATTTACAGAAAGAATTCTTTATATCATTCAAACTGTGTATTGATGAACAAAGAGAATTACGTGCAATTAGTAAATCTTCTGATAGAGCCAGTTGTTGAGGAAAAGAAGTGTTTAATAATTCGCTCCATTTTGAGAGGAGTTTAGCTGAACAAATAATTTGATTTGATAATAAAACTAATTGGTCATATAAATGTTGTTTAGAAATAAAAGAATTAGTAGAACCAATAGGTTCTTTATTCTCATTTTTTAATTTGTAAAACCCTCTATTCTTACAAACTTCTCTACCAGATTCAACTTCAAGAGAATGATTTAAAGCATCTAATATAGACTTTCTCCACTTACCTGTTTTAAATATTTTTAAATTAATAAATAATGACATATGTTCTTTTACAAAAGGAAGAATATCTTTCGTTAATGAAAAATACTCTACTCCTGGTTTTAAGATTTTTAATGAATTAAGAATTAGTATAACGAACTGTGTTGTTTTAATTTTAGGGTTTTGAACAAGAAACATACTTTTCTTTTGACAAATAATACAACAGCAATAAGCATTCATTTTGATTGGTTCTTGTTGTTTTGAGATAAAAGTTGGATTATCCATTGAACGATTTGAGATTGAAATCTAAATCTTCTCTTACATTATCTTCCTTATTTTTTCTATAATTTAATTTTCATTTTTGTAGAATATTCTTTATCTTATTTATTTTTGGTTTTGTTTATTATTTATTTAATGTTTAATATAGAAAAATTGAAAAAAAATATATATATTTTTTTTCCTGATTATTTAGTGTAATTAAACGCTGATATAAATAAAGAAAATTAATTATAGAAATAGAATATTTTAAATTTAGATTTCATGATTAATTGGTCCATCTAGATAAATTAAATAAAAAGATCCTTTACGTGGGTGAAGTTTTTATTGTTTGGAATTTTCCAACAAAATTATACACAAATACAGAAAAAAATAATAAATTTATGTTATTCATTTTTTTGTTTTGATCCAATAAGAAGTTGTTTAATAAAGGAAATTTTATCATCAACAAATTTAGCTTCATCCAACTGAATTTTTTCATCTTCAGATAAAGCAAACCATTCTTTTTCTATTGAATAATGGAGATATGATAATAAGAGTATTAAGATTGATCCTATGACATTTACAGACTGACTAATCAAAAAAACAAATTTATATGAAGTTAATCGACATTTTGAACAATGAACAATTTGGTTTTTTCCATATTTTATTCTATTCAAAAATCCAATAGTTCGTTCCATTTTTCCTTCATATTTATAACATCCACAATCTGAAAATGGTTTGTCATTAACAAAAACACAACAATAATTCTATAAAAGATTAGAAATTTATCTTAAAAAAAGATGATAAATGAATATTAAACAAACTTGTTCTTCAGTTCTAATTCTAAGGTTATCAGTTAATTCATTAGTTGTACAAAATGAGCTAATAACTGAGACAAAAAATATAACAAATGACAAAATACTAATTAATGTAGAAATGTAACTAAAATGATATGGCTGGTTAAGGAAAAAAGATATCTTTGATGGTAGAAAAGACTCTTGAACATCATAAAAACAAAGAATTGTTACTATTGCCCAAAAAAATAACGAAATCATCGATGAGTAATATTTTGGTGTTTCTATTATTCCTTTATTCATTTCTAAAATAATTGCACCAAGAATGAAGAGTGTATTTATTCCCTACATATAAATATTTCATGCCTTATTAAAATTAAACCCTCCTAAGAGTAGAAAAAAAACAAACAGAAATAAGTCCTATAGATTCTCTTAAAAGATTATTTTTCATAGCAAGAAGTATTTGATAACTTTTTTAGTATTATTTTTTATTAATTTATCTTTCTTTTTAATTTATATTCTTTTCTTTTTTTGGGAGCAAAGACAAAATAAAAGAAAGAACAAAAAATAGTTGAAAATCGGATATAAAGAGTGTTGGAAGAAATTGAAAAGTGAAAGAGAAAATATGTAAGAAAGAAGAAGAGCAAGAAGAAATACCAATGGAAAATGAAGAAGGGAAGAAATACTTAAAAAAACGAACAAGAACAACAAAACAAAGTGGAAGAAGAAAAAGATATATGAAAGACATGAAAAAGAGAAAGAAGAAAATCAAACAAAACATGAAAGATAAAACAAAAACAGATTAGAAGAAATGGATAAAGAAATATAAAGGCAAAGAAGAAGAGAGGAAACAGAAAGAAGAAACAAAATACCAAAATTAGAAGAACAGATAATGAAGAGTTATTAATGATATGGAATAAATATAATAAACATCAAAATGAAAAGAAAATTAGAAATTAAAGAGGTATTAGAAGAAAAATAAATAAAGATAAACATAGAAGAATATATTGATATAATTAAAAGCAGAAGATGAGTTGATGAAAGAAAATAAGAACGATATAAGATAAATAGGAAGAAATATAATTAAGACATGAAATGAGAAGAATAAAAGAAATATAGATTAACGTAATACTGAAATAATAAAATAATAACGAATAGAGTCATGGCAATAAAGGAATATAAATAGAAGATAATGAAAGAAGAGAAATGATGCAAATGAATAAGAATTGGAAATGAAAAAAAAATTTATAATATGTTGTAAAAGAAATAATAAAAAACCATTTAATGAAATGTATTAATAAATTGAAATTAAATAATCATTATAGAAACAATAAAAATGATGATAAAAGATATAATGAATAAGAACATAAAAGATATAATGAAATAATGTAAAGATAATAGAGAACTATAGAATACTTCATGTACAAGAATCTAAACAGAGTGAATAAATTAATTTCAAATAAATAAAATGAAATAGAACAATCAATATTTACTAAATTTAATAAAGTAATTTTTAATCAATTTGAATGAGAAACGAAAATTCAACATCAGAGACACACACAAACATTAATACAAAATTAAATAA